AGGACACAAATTTGTATAATAACATGGGAATGACATAGGTATTACAACGAGAAGGTGATTTATGAGGACATTTTCAGTGTCCCAGTAATTCAAAAGGCTTATAAATAATTCAGAATTTGTTTTTTTGAAAATCTAAAAATGCAGAAAGTTTCCTGTAAGGGGTAGGTTTAGGGGTAGGGTTGGTGTAGGGCAATATAAAATACGGTTTGTACAGTATAAAACCATTACGCCTATGGAGAGTCCCCATAAACCATAAAAACAAACCTGTGTGTATGCGCGCACACACACACACACACACAGAGAGTCACAAACTGAAATCTAAAATCAGCTACAAGTGAATTTAGGAGTCACAACATTATATTGTGCAGTATGAAAATGGACATTAATTGTGAAATTATTAAATTAGTGTTTTAAAAAAATTACTTTAAATGAGTGTTAGATTCCTAAAAAAGTCTAAAAATAAGCAACAGAAATATCTTGGGTCTTTGAGTTAAAAAGGTTGAGAACCACTGATCTAGATGCACAGCAGAATAATAATTAGCTTCACCAAGAGTGGAGACATCTCAGTAGGTTATATGCAACAAAAACCAAAGTAAGGCGGTTAATGGGGCAGCATAAAAACACACTAACAACACGTATTTTACAGTTGCATTCCCTTTCAGGTACTCTGCAAACTTTCAGTCAAAGCAGATGTGTCCTGCTCCAGGTGATACATCAGCCTCATCTTAAAGAACACTGGAGGCCGCAATCCATTAAAACATCCCTGGGGGCTCTGACCTCACCTACTGGAGAAGCTTCATTTCACGGCCCTCCATATGCATTTCAGATTTAGCCAGGCCTCCCTTTGGTTTACTGTGTTCTCTATCCCTGTTGTTTTTCTTTAAGTGGGCTCTTGATTCTGTTGCGCTGGTAGGGCCACTTGTCATGATACAGAGTGCACCTGTAATGTCCCCTGCGACCCACAAAACACATAAATCACTTCAAAGAGCGGCTCCCCTAACATTCTCATAAAAAAGAGTCAGGCTCTGATTTATTTCTCTCTCCACAGATCTCTTTCTGTTTAGCAGTCCTACAACAACAAACATCTTCTAACATTGTACCTGCACTCTAAAAAATGCTGGGATACTTTTTCTACCCAACTGCTAGGTTGAGCCTGTTGGCTCATTGTTTTTTTCCAGTGCTCTGTAGTTTTTGTGTTACCCAGCCATTGGGTTAGTGGTTGGGTCCATCTCACTGACCGCTAAAACTATACACCCTCCCCCTCCCTCCAACGAATCAACCAAGCATGTGGCTACATAAACTGATTTTATTCGTTATAATACTAAATTAAATTTATTTTTATGCTAAAATATGTTCTCTATTCTCAGTACTGTTTGTTTATGGGCAGGTTATGAAGTCAGTCACAGAATCTTTCAGTTACAAGTGAAACGTGAGGCGGCGGTCTGAGGTTTGCAGTTCCCCTGCCGAACAGCTCAGATTTTGGGCGACACAGCGGCATGAGAATCAGCACTATTTTTGGTTAAAGGGGATAAAAGAGAAGTTGAGAGAATGGTTGAATACACTTGAATTAAAATGTTACTTTTAAATGTTACATTTTTGTATTCCTAAAATGCTTTTTTAACTAGTTTAAATGTATGTAATATTGCAAATTATGCTTTATTCACCCAAATAAATTCAATTTGTCTTAAATTTTAGTCCATGGATGTTCTTGCTTATTAATAAGTGCTCATCTTTTGATTATTGATGTTGCCTCTAGTAATTCTGTGTGATATTTTAAATTTCCAGCCCATTTTAAACCAGCAATATAATAATTTTTACACAATATTTCAGTTAAAAATAAAACAACCCATCATGTTGGGTAAAACATTTAACCCAACCAGCTGGGTCAAAATAACCCAGCATGTGTTCTGTCCACTATTTACCCAGCAATGGTTGTTTTTAAACCAGCATCTCATATCCGGCCCAAACGAACCGTCCCGTCAGATTAGATATATATGTAAAATGGAGGGGTTGAAAGAAGCTGAGATTTTGATTGATAATTTAAATATTCGATTCATATTACCAACAACGTAAAAATCAACTCCAAACATTGTATTGGTTCTTTTCATACCATTCGGATAGATCAGTAAAGGTGAAGATTGGAAATTCGTCCTCCTCCTCTGCACCACTCACATGTGAGGTACCTCAGGGGTCACTTTTGGGACCTATTTTTTTGGTTTGTATATGCTCCCCTTGGTTTCTATCATGAGGAAATATATTATTTGTATCACTGTTATGCTGACGATACCCAGATTAACATCCCTCTTAGCTCTGATAACACTTATTCTGACCTTTTCAGATGTTTCGAAGATATCAAATGCTTTGAAATGCAAGCATTGCAAATGCAATAAACTTTCTTTGTATTACTTTTATCCATGCATTTATCTCTTCTAGACTAGATTATTGCAATGCACTTTATATGGGTCTCAACCAGTCCTCGCATCTCTTCACTGGTTACCGGTGCAGTATAGGATCCATTTTAAGATTTTATTATTTGTTTTTAAAGCGTTAAATGGTGTATCACCATCATATCTGTCTGAACTTCTCAGCTACCAACAATCTTCTTGAACTCTCAGATCCTCTGATAAACTCCTCCTACATATACCTCACTCGCACTTGAAGTTTAAGATCGTTGCTCTGTAGCTGCTATTCCTTGGCTATTGGATGAATAGTATTTTATATTGTGATGAGAGGGGCGGGGCCGAGAGCCGTGGGAACGGAGCAAGGCCGGTGGAGTAAATGCTAATGCACGACACCTGCGCCACTCACCGGTCTCGAGTCCCAAGGAGGAGCTCCGGAAGGATAAAAGGAGGAGTGATGACAGTGTTCGACGAGAGAGGACCAGGCCTGGATTTCATTTTGTGTTCAGGCCGGAGCCTGCTGCCATCCGCCATGATGGGGATGAGCAGGGAACGGGGAACTCCTGCCAGCTGCCCGAACCCGGAGGAGCCGTCGCCGTCCACCGGGCGGCGGAGGAGTGTCGGGCTGTCCACCGAGGGCTATCTAGTGCCGCCGCCAGGCATCGCGGAAGAGTTTACCCAGCTGGTGGAGGGCCGAGCGGCAGTGTGTCTGGGAACCGGAACAAGGTTTTGTTTTTTTTTCCTCCTCTCTCATCTCTGTCTCTCCTCATCTTTCTGTCTCCTCACTCTCGCCTCGTCTGTCTGTCCTTACCCCCAGGTACGCCGCGGCCGCTGTGATCGGCTCCCCCAGTGGGGGGAGGGGGGGAGTAGAGCGCCGTCTCGTGAGTACCCCCCGGCCTGCGAGGGGCGATGGGGGTATGTGACGAGAGGGGCGGGGCCGAGAGCCGTGGGAACGGAGCAAGGCCGGTGGAGTAAATGCTAATGCACGACACCTGCGCCACTCACCGGTCTCGAGTCCCAAGGAGGAGCTCCGGAAGGATAAAAGGAGGAGTGATGACAGTGTTCGACGAGAGAGGACCAGGCCTGGATTTCATTTTGTGTTCAGGCCGGAGCCTGCTGCCATCCGCCATGATGGGGATGAGCAGGGAACGGGGAACTCCTGCCAGCTGCCCGAACCCGGAGGAGCCGTCGCCGTCCACCGGGCGGCGGAGGAGTGTCGGGCCGTCCACCGAGGGCTATCTAGTGCCGCCGCCAGGCATCGCGGAAGAGTTTACCCAGCTGGTGGAGGGCCGAGCGGCAGTGTGTCTGGGAACCGGAACAAGGTTTTGTTTTTTTTTCCTCCTCTCTCATCTCTGTCTCTCCTCATCTTTCTGTCTCCTCACTCTCGCCTCGTCTGTCTGTCCTTACCCCCAGGTACGCCGCGGCCGCTGTGATCGGCTCCCCCAGTGGGGGGAGGGGGGGGAGTAGAGCGCCGTCTCGTGAGTACCCCCCGGCCGGCGGGGCCGAGAGCCGTGGGAACGGAGCGAAGCCGGTGGAGTAATTGCTAATGCGCGACACCTGCGCCACTCACCGGTCTCGAGTTCCACGGAGGAGCTCCGGAAGGATAAAAGGAGGAGTGACGACAGTGTTGGACGACAGAGGACCAGGCCTGGATTTTATTTTGTGTTTTGGTTCTGTTTGTGCGCGACAGTCGTCCGCGAGGGGCTGTCGCACTATTGTGTTTATTTTGTTATTAAAGTTTTGGTTGAACGTTCGCCGGTTCCCGCCGCCTCCTTTCCCGATCTACAAACTTTGTTACATATATATTGTAATGTGTACTAACTTTTTTTATGGGTTATTTGTTGTTGTTTTTGTCTTTCTTTTATTTTCTTACTTCTTTATAGTATCTAAAGTATTTATTTATGTATAGCACTTTGGTAGACACTAGATGTTTGACCGAAATAAAACAAATTTTACAAGGTAAAAAAGTGTTTGTTTTTAAAGAATTAACTTTGTTTTTAAATTTAAATTTTCTTACTCCCAATATTTAAAAAAAATCTTTTTTTAAGTATAAATATATATTTTGTTGGGGTTTATGCTAGAAAAAAATCAGGGTGCTAAAGCTAAAGTAAAATCAAGCAACTAAACTTAATTCAAAACTAATTTTTTTGCTATTTTAGTAAAACTAGATAAAACACTGATCAAGAAAATTATTACTTTGCTGTGTCAACACAAAATATGCTAGCTGGTCAAATCATATTTGTTTATTCTATGAATGCCACAAACAGAAAACTGAAGGCACATGTGTGGCTATCACAGGCATCAACTTGTTATTTCCCAGCTTCCAATGTTTGCAAGCCCTTCTGCCAAAAGAGACAATATTTATTTGCTTAGCAAACACTTACTAAACTTGACTGACTTGTAATGTCTTACTCTTTACACCCTCTGTGCAGCTGTGGTTTTACTGGGAAGTAGGAGACACTGAGGTAAGCACCCCTTCTTAGAGTTCAGGTGGCTAAACTAAGAGATCTGTCCCAGAGACCACTGGATTAGCATGGCAACAGTCTTCTTTATACTGCTTGGAGAAGAGATGATTATTTTTGTTCTGTTTGTTCTCATTACCTCCTAGTTCCTTCACATTCAGTATTGCATTTTCGAATGGCACTGCCTTGATGCTGAAACCTGTGAAAGTAAACACGCTCATGTTAAAATTTCACAAACTTTGTGGTAAAGGACAATGTTTGAAGTATATATTGAATTATGAATTATATTAAATATAGAATATATATTCTATATATATATTCTATATATAAAAAAAGAAAGAATCTTTCTTTTGAAGTTTTGAATGACATGAGGTTACATTGATAATGACATCTGTGGAACATGCGATGGGACTGACCAAATCTGGACATGTACAGTATATGGGTGGTTTTTGCTACAGCGCTTTTAGCAAAGTTTTTAACCTACAATAATAATGCAATTTAATTATCAAAAGATACATCCACTTTTTTCCACTTGTGCAATGGGCATGAGGCTTCTGATTGACATTAAACACAGAAGACATTCACTTTGACATTACATCCGTTGTGTTAGTTTCTCACCAACGCATACAGAGGCAAACAGGGTAGACATTTGGTACTGATTAATGCAACTGAAAACATGTGAGACTGAACCTCCAAAGCCCACATTAATTTAAAGCTAATGTTCATGAGGTAAGTTTCATCAAATGCTCAACAGGTGAGAGTAAATATGTCATGAACAGGAGAGAAGCTCTATCTAGGTCTGTTTTTGCAGACTAGCGACTCTGACAACTTAATCTAACCATATTTCCATGACAGTCTGCCAAATAACACTTCGCTTTTGTAATTACTGCTTCACTAGACAGCCCAAGACAGGTGTTTGCTCCAAAGACAAAGGGCGGCCATCATTGGATGCACATTCTGGCTTTGTGTATCGTCTGGTGTGCTGTATACATCACACTCCGATTGTTGAAATGTGCCAAAGAAAGTTTGACACAATTGTGTCTTCTCTTGTGAAAAGAACCATTTGTTTTGTTGGTAAAAACGGAAGTGATGTCTTCCATCTCGAGAGGTGAAGAAATTCATGGATACACCAGCCTGTCGCCAGTGGCTCTAATGAAATCAACACTTTTGTCACAAGGAAGAAAGTCTATGTGACAAAACCCAGATGTTCTCAAAAAAAGACACATACATATGCTCGTTCTTTGGTAAAGTAGCATAGTGCTCAAATGGAGGCTCTGAGGTAACCTGCAGCAATAACTTTACACAGCGTTCAGTACTCAGAGAGGTTGAAAAGCAAATGGTGACAATGAAGAGATTTTTCAGATGTTCCAGAGCGCTGGGAAAGTGTATTGCCGGAGATATGATATATGTACTGAGTACAAATGTGGAAGCTTATGCAAACTCACTGCAAAAGTAGTTGTTGGAATGATTTTTCACATTTGTTTGAGAAACAGGAGCTGGGGTTTGCATTACTTGTCTTAGATTAAGTCTTTTTAGGTCTCGGGGCTAAATATGTGATTTGTCTCTCATATTTTGTTCCTTTGAAAAGCATGTTTTGTTGGCTTAAAAATGCTGCAGTACAAAGCTGCAGAGAAATGCTATATTACCTGCGGTTGGTACTGTGCCATCACTGATCTCATTGCACAAGCGAGATAACAGACTGGTCTTGCCGGCTCCACTCAGTCCAATGCACACGAGATCATACTCTGGTCTAGGAGGAGGGGGGGTCATACAGCACAACTTCTGGAGACACTAATAAATAAATTAAAAAAACAACAACAGAGAAGATAAACATGGTTAGTGACAACGAGTGGTGCACTTTTCACTAGCATGCTGATAAGGCTAAAATGAACAATTTAAGCATGTTTGCCAAAGAAGACAGTCTGAAAATAAACTGAGGAGCATGAGCTGACAAACGCTAATGAAGTTCTAAATAAAGACGTCTGCTGATGCCAATGAACTAATGCAGTGATTTGAAAGCAACACATCTGGAGGAGAACTCCTGAACTCACAATAAAATGACTTCACTGACAAAATGGGATATGAAATTCACCACACTGCTGTTGCTTTCTCATTGACCACGTTTACGTGTGTCCCTTCAACTCTGGCCATTTAATGTCCAAGGGTGCATTTTTATTAAATCTGATTTGTAACTTTTTGTTATATGAAGACCACATTAAAAACATTATTATACAATTTTTACTATGAGATTTATTTATTTTTTTGCCGTTTTTAAAATATTTTTTTTGTGCAGATTTTATTGTTTTACAAATAGAAAAAAAGACAGTATTTTGTGTGAAAATAACACCAATTTGACTGTGACTGTCCCAGATATGAAGTCATTTCCACCTCAATGAACAATTCTGCTGTTTCAAAAGTGAGTGTACTTGTTCAACAAGGAGATAACAGTATCAGTGAATAACATGCTTGAGATGAAATATGAGAATTAAATTGAAAGAAAAGACAATCTTTTTTTAAATCATCTGGAGATCATACTGAAAAAGCCAACAGAATGACGGAAAAGGTGTTTACATGTGGTGTTTACATTGGGTTTTGCTTAAACCATTTATGATAAAAGAATAATGTTTATTGAGTTTACTAGACCTTACAGGTTGTATGAGGGTTATTAAGTATAACTGGTGTAAGATTGTGCATCTAAACAAACTAGATGATTTACTGCCTCTCCTGCACTAATGTGGCTGAGACCTCCTTTCCTATTGCTTGATATTAGGGCAGGCTTTATTGTAGAATTTGCTTGCCCTAACATGTAAAATAGACTGTTACCAGACAGTCTAACGCAGTCTGTGTCTGTTTAGGGGGGAGGGTGTGGAAAAGAGAGAGAGAGGCAGGATTCTGAAAGCTTGTGTCCTCATGGCAGCAGACAGACCTGTCACTTTATGAATCACTGTCTTTGACTGGAGGCCTGCTGGGAGACATTAGGAGGCAAATGCTGTGTGAACCGTGAATGGAATGGTTAAAGCCGGTGTGGAGAGATCAGTATACAGAACTAAAAAGAGATATCTTTTATTAGCAGGACAGAACTAGTCTGGGCCAGGCAGGGCTTGATTCTGCCCTTCACCTCTGGATTTTTTCATTCCACATGGAAACATACTCGTTGTAGTCTCCATATAAAGAGCAGTTTCTTTATAAATAGACAAATGTAAATGTTATGCATTCTCATAAAGCAACATTACATTCCCAAAGGGCAAAAATATATCTGGCCAAAATATATTTTACATATAAGCTAAAATGTATGTTGTAAAGAGTGTGGATTAAGGAAATATATTTGTTAAATTTGTTCACATATTTCTTTTAAACATCCAAATGGCAAGCTATTGCATTTCATATGGACAATAAAATGCATTTCCAATCTTAAAATACATTTAAATTGTACTGGATTGGAGAGATATTAAAAATAGAAGGAAATAGAAGTTACATCCAAAATGATCAAAAAATTGATTTATGTAAATGTATTTTTAAATCCATAAGAGCAGTATTTTTTGAACATTTTTAATGTTATTCTGAGACATTTAAAAATATCTGGAAAAAATATATATTTTGCTGTATGAGTTTGTGTGACTTTGTGTAACTGTGTAAAGTGCCGTTAGTCAAAACTTCTAAATTCTGCCACAGAGCCCCATCTTCTAACGTTACAGCTCACTCATGTATTATGTAATTCTTCCTGAATCCTAATATGGACAGCAAAGGCTTGTAGGCAAACAAATGTGTCATTTTCTCTGGTGCTCTTCCATCACTAAAATCCTAAATGGCTTTCACAGGCCCTTCACAGGAACAGCCACAGAGAGGCCGCCCTACATAATCGGTCGGCCGCATATGCTTCTGCTTTGTCACACAGCAACCTGGGCATCTGGTTCTGTAAGAGGCTGATGAATTTACCCTATTCACCCCACCTTCACTTACAGTGCTCAGATGGGATGATAAATTTACATCAGTTGCTAAAGGCACGTCCTGGAGCTTTGACCCCACGGCCCATCAGGGTTCCCACAGGAGCACAGGGCCACACACTTCAGCGCCCCATGTTGTTGCAAGAGAGCAAAATAAAGGATTTCCCAGGTGTCCGAGAAGAGAAGTCACATTTAAAACAACTGTTTGGTCAGGATTTTTCTCGTGCCAGTGAGGCAGGTTGAAACAGACACTCCTGCCAAAAAGGGTTTCTATATGTCGAGAAATGCTAACTCTTGATTGATTCTTTTGGCTCTCGTCATATTGGACGCATTTTAATTGTTCATGAGCCTCGAGACATTACCTCACCGATGTTGGGGCAGTTGTAAAAGCTGATGAACTGCTTTTTATGTAAATGAAGATGTTTGAAGGTATAAATATTCCAGACTGACAACAGCTGTGACACGGCACTGACACATTTTTAGATGAAATGTTTCGCTAAAAGGTATACGCAAAAAAATAAAAACTCTCAAGCCCCCTTATCCCACGCAGCTTTCTATTTAAAAAAAGATGTCAAGACATCAAACGGCCGATGTAATTAAAAGGCCTGGCTGAGTTCCAAGCCCTGGCACCAAAACAAAGATACGACAGCGCTAGAATCCAGAACGGCAGACAGGAGAACACAGCTGGGCCAAATCCACTCAGCATTGCCACATTATTGAATCTTCAGCCCTTATGGAAGCAACACTGAACAATGCGCCACTGCAAAAACAACTCCCTGCCTGCCAACTTCTACTGAATGGACCCCTCGGCTGAGCGAAGGGGACCCTGTCTGCTCCATGCAATAAAGAAAAACAGTAGTCTGACTTCCATCATGAGAAATGTAACATGCTCTGCATTCTGCCGCTCTGGAGCATAGTGAACAGCAGCAACAACAGCGATCACTCTGCGGGGTTATTGGCCAAAGGCTTAATCCTTACAGACACATACTGTATAGAGATACTGTTGGTTGGGGGGAGGGGGGTCTAAAGGGTCCGTCTGCCCCCCGGACATGCGATGGCCAGCCGTTGCTCACTTGTCTGCTCTATTTTAAATGACAGCTTTGTATTTTTAGAGCCAATAAATGAGGGGGTGAAAGCAAGGGAAGCACCACGCAGACAGACAGGGCTCACATTTCACTCATTTGCCCTCTGAGAGTGTGAAGACAGAGCAGACGTCTGCCATTGAAGCGTCAGGCAGTGATGCCATCCTGTTTGCCCCACCTGCGCCTTTATGCATCGCCCATTGCCATGGCTTTGACAGTGACACTGTTTGGCACCTCAAAGGATTTCAGCATTCTTGCACCTCAAAAAATGACCTCATCCTCATATCATTACAAATATGTACATTGTTATTTTGATCATGGAACACAAAACAACAATCATTTTTAAAGAATCTTCATATACATTTTTCATATACAAAAATACAATAAATGTAATAACATTAAAAAATACCATTGGTAATTAATACATAAATTAATAAAATAACTAATGGTGATTTATGACCTGCACGAGGGGGCTTAAGTTTGGGTCTTTTCTAAGGATACACAATATATCATTATTATATCAGTTATTGGCAGATATTAGAGTTTTTTATTTAAATTTATTGGATATGCATCAGATGATATTGAATCGTGGATGTTAATTTTCCCTATTTTTACATTTAAATTACCTTTGCCATCATCCAATGGACACTTGGATGTTTTTAAGGCATAAATAATCATTGCAATCTTTGTCAAATATCAATATTAATATTTATTTTTAATACTGTACATTATAATGTTACAATTCACTTGTAGCAATTAACATTTTTATGTAGAGAAAATAGAATGTAGACATATAGAATTTCAGTATCAGGCTTTTAGCAGTATCAGTATACATGAAAATAATTATCTGCTTATTGTTATCAGACAGAACTTTTAGATGAATCTTCCTTACATAATGCTAGCGTCTTGGCATGGCACAACTGTAGACCACACAAGGTTCACATTTCCTAACATTGTGAGTTCTGCATTGAATGAAATTCATCTGACTTGTTTGTTAATGGTGAGGGTGTACTACCAGCAGTAATGTCACATCTTTTACGGTGTAATGTGAATGGAGAATTTCATTTGGGCTGAATAGGTACTGAATTCAGCACAAACCTGAGCCAATATGAATCCCCTTCCAATGCCACATGCATCAGGTTCATCTTTCACTGATCGGGAGGGTGTGTCTCTGGAAGTAAAGACATAGATCATCTACTGCTTTCAATCGATGGCACGCTCAAGTAAGCCCCCCTTTGCCAGATCAGCGTATTCCATCTTGCTATTAATTCAGGGTGTGGAAGTAAACTGCACTAGATTTAAATGGCACATTGGGAAATTATTAGCCAAAAATTGTGCCAGCAATGATCAACAAATAAAAAAATAATAATAATAAAAAAAATAAAAAAATGCATAGCTGTAATCAGTCATAGCAAAGAGCCAAACAGCTTCAGGTCATGCCAAAACAAGTCCATAATGAACAACATCTGATAAAAATAGCACTGCGGAGTGGAAAATGTTGCAGTAAAATTAGCGCAGGTCCACATTCACTACAGGACATCATATTTCACCTTCCCAAACCAGCCTTATTACAAGCGAAATGTGCCAAATGCATTATAGCATGAAGTTGAATAACAAGGCAACTAAAAAGCAGTATCAACTGCACAACCCTCATAATGTCTGGAGACTGACTTGTTTACAGACTTTATTTCTCGTTATTACTGCTATATCTTATAATTGTAACTTTATATCTCAAAGCTGACTGTTTCTCATTACTACTGCTATA